ATAAAACCTAACTTACGACGACACGCCCCAGGCACAGCACTAATACCTAATTTTAATATATAATGAAAATACATTCAGTGTACCAAGATGCCAAGAATATTGTCTGCAAACTTGGTAGGAACAGGAAGAATGCTGCCTCTTACCACTGCATAATACGAGGCAATATGAACAGCAAATACACACCCCTCTAAGATCCGATGGGGAGAACATCCTATTAGGATACAGAAGTCAGTGTGGAACAGGAAAAAAAACAGGAGTTACCAAGACAAAGAATTTAACACCAGGACAAGAAATTTATAAGTTGGGGTGAAAAAGGGTTATAGGTGGAGGGGGCTGAATTTACTCTGCCTTCTTTTTGTTTTTCCAAAATACTGCACGTTATTGTGAGGGATGAGAAGAATGGCAGAAGCTGGATTCCAGGATGTTGAGACTACCAGTGGGAGCCCCAACTGGACTATAACTACTTCTAGCAATTCTCCTTCCAGATTACGAAACAGAACACCCTTGAAATGTAAAAGGAAGTGTTCTGGGGAGTAAAGGGGGATAAGACTGAGGAGTAGGAACCAACTTTAATACGTCAGTAATAGAAAAATGAGTATTTCTGGAAGATCTACTTACTAAAACCTTTTAATTCGCTATCTCATTTAATCCTCATAATACTGAAACTTAAGATGTTATTATTCTCATTTTACATATAATGAGCTAAGAAATTTGTCCTAGGCTGAAATGCTATTTAAGTGGAAGAAGACAGTAATGTCCATGTCTGTCTAATGTCCACGTTCCTTCAACTACTTCATACAGTCTCTACAGTTATCACTGGTATTACTTACTAACACAGCTATTGCCATAGTCGTTGAAACATTCAATCCTTCTAACTTTATTGTTCTTTCTCATCACTTCACTTTTATGTCTCCAGTAATTTGAGGATTTTCATCAGTGTTATGTCTTCCAGAGACATAAGCTTTCAGAGAGCCCTTTCCATCTAGACAGTAAATAAATAAGTACTAAAAGTATTAGTTTACACTTTGGCTTCTCTTGACTATTTTTATTATGTTTCATTCCACACGCCAACCCTCCAATCTCTACATGGAAGGGAGATTTCATTCTGGACCTTTAGAAATGCCAGAGGCAGATTTTAAGTTAAGAAGTTTCACTTTTATTCTATCTCCCACCACACCCTTCTGAAAGTCACTAGCTAGCAATTGCACTACTTGGTCTCTAACTGCAATTCCAGTAACAGGAAGTAAAAAAACAGTCTACAGAGCAAGTTTCAGAACTCACGGATTTTACTGACATAAATCCATCAAAGCCTATTCATTCTTAGTTCTTAGACATGACTAAGAATCCAGTTATCTGGATTCTAGACAGAGTAGAATAGAGAAACACATTAAAAGAGCAAACCCACTGAGAGCAGGAAGCTAACAGATGGAAGAGACAAATATTTAATATAGATATTTTTAAAAGCAGAGCAATATTGGGCTACTTAATACAGAAGCAAAGTGTGTAAGATGCCATTATTCCTTCGGCACATCATGATTTATAGGAGAGGCCAGAAATTCTTGCTCCATTTTCAAAATAAGTCAATCCTTAGATTTGCTGCATGTGCAATCTGCTACCTAGGATTCCCAAGTTTAGCCATTAGACTACCTGCTTCAGAATCCTCCTTTTCCCTCTCCTCTAATTGTTCATGTCGCTTACATCCCAGTTAGAATTCACAGACTCACCCTTAATCCACACTACGGTCTAACATACTGGCTCTTCCTCATGGTTCCTACTTTTAATTCACAACCTACCTCTTAAAATTTAGCTACCTAACCTAAAATTTAGCTAAATTTCTAAGCTCTTGGAACCTTACCTGAGGGCTTTCCTTGGCAGGTACTGCTTCGTACTCCCTGCCAGATGTCCAGCTAGGCTCTTAACTTTGCAAGTACAGATCCCTGGAATAACTCAATATTATTCTGCCTTCTGACTGCCACTTTCATGTCCTACTCATGGAATAAGGTAGACATATCATCTATTACATCAAATCCCCACATGTATCTGGGACAGCACTCTGTAAATCAAACTAACTGATATTTCTGCAGCAAAAGATAGGAAGATTCGTATTCACATAAGATGGGATAAACAATAACTGTAAATACCTTTGCATCAGTTCAGGCCATGTTTTGGTACCAAATGAGTTAAGAAAAAACTTTTCAGAGCCTTTTAGTCTCTAGAATTAGGACTAAGGGATCTGGTACATGTATATCTGCTTTGCTTTTTCTGATTTCCTCCCAAAATATATATATAATATATATATATATTATATAATATATAATATATATATATATTATATAATATATATTATATATTATATAATATATATAATATATAATATATATATATAATATATATTATATATATAATATATATAATATATATAATATATATTATATATGTATAATATATATATATATATATTTTTTTTTTTTTGAGACGGAGTTTCACTCTTGTTACCCAGGCTGGAGTGCAATGGCGCGATCTCGGCTCACCGCAACCTCCGCCTCCTGGGTTCAGGCAATTCTCCTGCCTCAGCCTCCTGAGTAGCTGGGATTACAGGCACGTGCCACCATGCCCAGCTAATTTTTTGTAGTTTTAGTAGAGACGGGGTTTCACCATGTTGACCAGGATGGTCTCGATCTCTTGACCTCGTGATCCACCCGCCTCGGCCTCCCAAAGTGCTGGGATTACAGGCTTGAGCCACCGCGCACGGCTCCAAAATATTTTTTTAAGAGTGTTGGTGATTCAATGGGTAACTTCAGTTTTCTGGAAATTTTATTTACATAAAAAAGATATTAATATTTCTTTTGAGTAAGGTATTATTTTGTTTACACGCATACAAATATGCATATATTCAACATGTAGAAACCGCCAAATGCAACAGAAAAGTATATAAATGCTATTGCATATTACCCAAGAAGTATTACTTGGGCAATAAAGGACAACTAAGTTACTGAAAAAAATACATACATAAAACAATTTAGTAAAATTAGCACCATACTATTTTATTTTTATCTTTTTTTTTTTTTTTTTGAGATAGGGTCTCACTCTGTCACCCAGGCTGGAGTGCAGTGGCAGGATCTCAGCTCACTGCAACTTCCAACTCATGGGTTCAAGTGATTCTTCGACATCAGTCTCCCAAAAAGCTGGGACTCCAGGTGTACACCACCACACCTGGCTAATTTTTGTATTTTTTAGTAGGTACTGTGTTTCACCATGTTGGCCAGGCTGGTCTCGAACCCCTGACACCTTAAGTGATCTGGCTGCCTTGCCCTCCCAAAATGCTAAGATTACAGGCATGAGCCACCACAACTGGCTGATGGTTTTAAGATTAGCAAAAGTATATGTACAGCTTTAAATATTTAAAATTATCACCTTCTCCAAGTTTTCCTTCATTTTTGTCACACAACCAGCTCCAATTTCTTAGGCAGATAACTAATATAGTGCTTTAATATGGTTATATTATGCTTCTTTTCTAGAAATAAGTATCTTTCTGTTGTTACTATTTTTTTTTCTTTTGAGACAGAGTCTCCTCCATCGCCAGGTAGGAGTGCAGTGGCCCGATCTTGGCTCACTGCAAACTCTGCCTCCCAGTTCAAGCAACTCTCCTGTCTCAGCCTCCAGAGTATCTTGGAACACAGGTGTGTGCCCAGCCCAGCTAATTTTTTTTTTTTTTGAGACAGATTCTCGCTCTGTCGCCCAGGCTGGAGTGTAGCGGTACAATCTAAGCTCACTGCACCTTCCGCCTCCTGGGTTCAAGCGATCCTCCTGTCTCATCGTCCTGAGTAGCTGGGATTACAGGTGTGCACCACCACACCCGGCTAATTTTTGTATATTTAGTAGAGACAGGGTTTCACCATGTTGGCCAGGATGGTCTCAATCTCTTGACCTTGTGATGCATCTGCCTTGGCCTTCCAAAGTGCCGGGATTATAGGCCTGAGGCACTGCACCGAGCCAGTGTTGCTACTATTTAAAAAATAAAAAAATTTTAAAAAGCCCAAGCATGAGTCAGGATATATACTCCAATTTCAATCTGTTAGGTATCTGTTTAAAAAGTTCTAACTTTCCATTTGGTTCTCAATGTAAACATGTTTGATTTCTTGTTCAGTTACACTTCCAATAATATTCTGTCTGAGCTTATGACCAACTAGGAACCACTAGATTTATCACTAGATTCCGGTTTAAAAAATGGTTTTGAGGCCAGATGGGATCACACCTGTAATCCCAGCACTTTGGGAGACTGAGGTGAGGAGATTCCCTGAGCCCACGAGTTCAAGACCAGCCTGGGCAACACAGCAAAACCGCATCTCTACAAAAAATACAAAAAAACTGGGAATGGTGGCATGTGCCTGTGGTCCCAGCTACTCAGAGGCTGAGGTGGAAGGACTGTTTGGCTCCACACCAGTGACCCTGTCTCCAAAAAAAAAAAAAAAAAAACCTGTTTTGAGTAAAGGTACCTCACTGCTGGTTATGATAAAGCCCATGAATGACATAGTAAAAAGAGAGAGGTTTACTAAACGAAAAAAATTTCCCATACCAGATCTAAATGAAAACTGAAAATTAGAGAGTTGCTAGAGAAACATATAAAAACTCTTCCTCTTTGTAACAGGATTACAAAAGGCTAGAGTTGCTGAAATTACAAAACTTTATACTAAGTAAGGGAGCAGAAAAACCATTCCCCTCCTCTCTCATTACACACTGCAGATCTAGAAACATTTAGGAATCCCACAATTACGTGACATTATAATGAGAAAACAAGATTAGGAATTAAAACTGAGGCCAGGCGACTTTTGGAGGCCAGGGCAGGGGGATCACCTGAGGTCAGGAGTTTGAGACCAGCCTGGCCAACATGGTGAAGCTCTGTCTTAACTAAAAATACAAAAATTAGTCGAGTGTGATGGCGTGTGCCTGTATTCCCAGCTACTCGGGAGGCTGAGGCAGGAGAATCGCATGAACCCGGAGGTGGAGACTGCAAGTAAGCCAAGATCATGCCACTGCACTATAGCCTGGGTGGCAGAGCGAGACTCTGTCTAAAAAAAAAAATAAAAATAAAAGAATTAAAACTGAATTTAATCTATTTCCTCCTACAAAAGATTTAGTGTTTAAGCATTTAGAGTTCTAGTTCAGGGGTCCACTAATTTTCTTCTATAAAGGACCAGAAAACAAATACTTCAGGCTTTGGAAGCCTCTATCACAACAACTCAAACACAATACCTGAACAGCCATAAATGAAGGAGCATTGCTGTGTTCAATAAAACTTTTATGAAGCCGCCACCAGTGTAAATTTGACACATAGGCTGTAGATTGCTAAGCACTATTCTAATTCAAAAATTTAACACTAAAACTAGACAAGGGATTTAATTAAGTGACACAGGCAAGTCTTTACTAATGTTTTTGGCCCCAGTTAATTGATTTCTCAAATGAGATTTAATAACAGTTTCTCAATGTCTCCTGAAAAAAACAGAAGTATTATTTATATAAGGACTGTGGTCTCATTAAAGGATTGCTCAAACTCTTCAATTACACTATGAGATAATGAACCATATAAGACTGAATACAGCTTTCTTAAAAAAAAAATACAGATGTCGTTAAACTGCCTAACCAGGATTTAGAATAAAATAATTTTAGAATTTAAAAAAATCCAGAATTTAACCCTTATGTTACTCATAGTTAAGAAAGATTATTCTAAACTGCCTCAACTTTTTTGAAATAAAGCAGGAAGAAAGGTTAAGTGCATTAGTTACAAACAAGTAAAAAAAAGTAATTTTTTCTGTAGAGAATATATTCATTAGTTTAATGTAGTTAATTGTAATTAATAATTTAAGAATTAAAAAGGTACCTTGGAGTCATGTATTTTCTGTGACTAACGCCAGATACAACGATTAAAAAACAAAAAAAGAAAGAGAAAAAGTGACCTAATCTAACCTCCATAAATAGTGGAGGGAACTTAAGCAGGAATTCATGTTTCCTGACTTTCAGGGGTCTTTTCCTATTCTATAGTTTATATAGGTAAAACAACTGCATTCCAAGGCATAACAAATTCATACTCCAGTATTCTCCAACTGTCACTATTCTTATATTATAAATTCTGCCTGTTTACCAGTTAAGTGGAAAAAAAAGTCAATGGTATTAAAATGTAACACAAATCTCCGAGTCCATGCTTTTATCTAAAATCCCGTTCTCAAAGACATACTTTCTAAAATGTTTGGAAAATGAAACAAAATTCTCCTCATCCCATCCACCTAATGCTTGACTACACTTCTGTTTTCCCTACAATTTAAGTAATTTCACTGAGTATTTTCGCTGGAAGTTTTTAACTGTACATGTGGGCCCCTTTATTTCTCCTTAAACTTTTAACACCTCTTTCAGGCTGTAAATTCCTTAAGGGTGTCTAGCACAAAAAAGGTGCTGAATACGTATTCAGTAAATGAATGCGCATAAAAACAATGGATAATTATGACCTTTAACATAGGGGTTCAAGCTATTTTACTATTATCTGACTTGACAGTCAAGAAAACTATCCTAACTTGCCGCAAATATCCACTACTGTGATAAACAAAGCGCTATAAAACACTTCATAAAGTTTTTAAAGACTTTATAATCACTTGAAATAACGCCGTATTGGCCGAGAGTAGGTTGAAAGAAAATGTTGCCCCACGCTAAGCAAATGCTATCCCAGCAAAAGCTTTCTTTCCTGGCGAGAACTAAAATAGTTCTCCACTTAGAAGGCAAATACTCCACTGCTCCCTTCTTGGAGAGGGAACTCCTTGAGGGTTCCCGCAGAAAACAAATGGGCCTCAGAGGAAGCTCGCCCAAAGGCCAGGCCGGGGCCCCGTTCCTCGCTGACTACTGGCGGCGCAGCGGACGCCGCAGGGCGGGTCCCGGGAGCGGCGCGCGGGCTAGGCGGGCTCCGACCTCTTGACCTTCCACACACGCCGGGCGTCCCCGGCTCCCGCTGGCTGGAGTCCATGCCTACTTGTTGTGCTCAGGTGAAGCCAGACTCTCCCGGAGCCCAGGAGGAAGAAGGACGGACCGCACTGCCCATCGGCTAACCCCGCGCCCCAGTCAGCCCCTCCTCGGCGGGCTCCGGCCCTTGGGGCCAGGACACCTAGCCGCTCGACCAGTTCCCCCACCGGCTTCTTTCGAGATTACATCGCTGCCGCGACCACCCTCGGGATCCTGGAGCGCTCAACTCACATTGCTGGCCCCGGTGCGTCCTTCCTCCCAGCCAACAGGCAGTCCGGATACCGCCCCCTCGCGCCCGGAGCTGCCCCCCGCTCCGCGGAGACCCGACTGCCTGCCTTTGGTGGAGGGAGGGGTACTCCTCAGCTCAGCGCCTGTCAGGGTTCCGCCACTTTACCAGCTGCTCTGCTAACCCCAGCAGAGTCTGCATTTGCCCGCGGCGGCCACAGCGAGGCATTGAGGTGGGAGGGGCGCGCGCGGGGCGTGGCCGGAAAGCTCGCAGCAGCTAGCTCGGCGGGAGCTAGCGATTGGGAGCACGCCCTGCGCCACGCCGCTGGTCCAAGGCCCCGCCAGCTGGCCGCCGAACCATCGAGCGCCCACTCTGGCAGGCGTAACTGCTTCACCATCGAAAGAACGATGGAGACAGCGGCCCAAGTTAGGATTAGGATTAGGTTTTTCAGTCCGGCGATTCTGGTCTATTTTTGTCTGTTTTTATCGCAAGCCAGAGTCCTTGGGTGCAGCTCCGGGACATCTAAAGGGCCTGGAGAAATTCAGGCGGGGCCAGTGCTGTGGGTGTAGATGGTGTAGTGTTAGACGTGGAAGGGACCCTAGAGAGCCTTGACTCTGAGGACTGAGGTAAAGTGACTTGCTCAAGGTCACATACTAAGTCAGTGGCAGAACTGAGACTAACAGCTTCTTAGCTCGGGTCATGTGCGTTTTCCCACTACACTCGGCGTCTTGAATGTCATTTTTCATGTTTTATTTTGAATCAATCTCCAGCTTACAAAAAGGTTGCAAGTATAATAGACCTTTTTTTCCCTGAATTGAGATTTAAATTGCTGACCCCATGTCACATTGTCCCTAAGCACCTTCTACATAATCACATTATAACCACCAAAATCAAAATATTTATGTAACTCAGCGTTTTGCCAATCGTCCCAATAATATTCTTTATGGTAAAAGATTCTGTTCAGAATCAAGCATTGTATTTACTTACCATATACCTTTCCCACTCTTCAAACTGGAACGTAAACTCTTAGTCTTGCCTTGACTTTCATATTATTGACATTTTAAAAGATTCCTGGCCAGTTATTTTTGTAGAATGGCCTTCACTTTGGGTCTGTCTGATATTTACTCATGATTACATTCAGCTAGGTATGACAGGACTCCAGAAATGTTGCTGCTTTCTTCTTGTTGCACCCTATCAGGTGGCACAATTTTAAATTCTCTCATTACCGATGTTTAATAAGGTAGTGTCTGTTAGGCTTCTCCAGTGTAATTACTTCTTTTTCCCCTTTGTAAATTAATAAGCATTTTGTGAGGGAGACTCTGAAACTCTCCTTTCAAGATATTTGTAAATATCTGGTTCTCATCAAATCTTCAATTAACATTTATATTAGTATGGATCCACAGGTTTCTATTTTGTTAAATGAGTTATAATCTATTTCTGTCTCTCTTTTCTCTTCTTTTTTTGTTTTTCTTAATACAGGGCCTCCTTTGTTGCCCAGGCTGGACTAAGTGGCTATTCACATGTTGATGGTGCAATCATGGTGCACACTACAGCCTTGACCTTCTGGGCTCATGCAATCCTTCTGCCTCAGCCTCCCAATTAAGTAGCTTGGACTACAGGTATGCACACCACTGCACCCAGCCAATATTCTGTCTCTATCATTATTTATTTTTGATGCTGAATTATCCCAAGTTTGGTGGGTAGGGGTCCCATTCATTCTAGCTTCTGTGATGTGTGTGTAATTTTTTTTTTTTTTGAGACAAGAAGACATGGTATCGCATTCATTCTAGCTTCTGTGTTTTGTGTGTGTGTGTTTGAGACAAGAAGGCAAGGTCTTGTGCCCGCTTCGGCAGCACATATACTAAAACTGGAACGATACAGAAAAGATTAGCATGGCGCCTGTGCAAGGATGACATGCAAATTTGTGGAGCGTTCCATATTTTTCACACTGGGGTCTGTTAGGGGGGACTAGGGGAGGGACAGCAGGGAGTAGGGAGTTGGGGAGGGATAACATGGGGAGAAATGCCAGATATAGGTGATGGGGATGGAGGCAGCAAACCACACTGCCATGTATGTACCTATGCAACAATCCTGCATGTTCTTCCCATGTACCCCAGAACCTAAAGTGCAATTAAGTGTATATATATAGTCTCGTGCTTGCTTCGGCAACACATATACATATATATATATATATATATGAAGATAAGATCTCACTCTGTCACCCAGGCTGGAGTGTAGTGGTCTGATCATGGCTCACTGTGGCCTCGACTTCCTGGGCTCAGGTGATTCTCCCACCTCAGCCTCTTGAGTAGCAGGGACAATTGGTGCACTACTGTGCCTAATTTTTTTTGTATCTTTTTTTTGTAGAGACAAGGTTTTGCCATGCTCCCCAGGCTGGTCTTGAACTCCTGGGCCCAAGCTATCCACCTGCCTCGGCCTCCCAAAGTGCTGGGATTACAGGTGTGAGCCACTGTACTGGCTTTAAATTCTGTAAACATTTTATTGTAAAATATTTTTAAAATAGAGAATAATTAAAAGAGCTTTAAATACCATATACACATTGTCCAGATTCAACATTAACAGGATACTATTCTGTGCCCTTTTGATACATCCCCATCATTCTTTCAGCACTCCCCTAGTTACTAGCACAATTAGATGTTTCAGGCTCATCCTGCTCCAGCCTTAGATGTAACCATTTATGCAGGAGCCCTGATTCCTTATAGTGGAAAATGGTATTTAGCACTAGGTATGCTCACTGCTATTAAGGTATCCGTAGCCAAGGCTGTCTCAGGGGATGCAGTTGGGGAATATTTTTATACATTCATACACATACATAGCACATCTTTATATGTATCCCTACACACATATTTACAGCTATATTTGTCTAACAATATATATTGAAAAATCATGTGTTCATAGTAAAACCTCCAATCCAGCATTATACAGTTCATTCTAGTTTCTGCTCTTCCACATTTATAACTACTTTCTCCTACAGAGAGAAGCCTGGCTCCCATTATCCTTGACATATTTACTTATTTGAATAACCCTGCTGTATGTGAGCAATCACCCATAGCTGCCCTCTCTTCCTTTGGAGGATACCACCCTTACCCCACTAAGGTTCTGAAAGCCCCAAATTAGCCATCTCAAGCCCCACTCTCATGTTTCTTTCCTTGCCATCACTACCACACCCTGTGATCCTGCCTAGCTTATAAACCCTACCCATCCTGCTCAGACCCAATCATCCCATGCCAAGCATCCCCCTTACCTCACTTTATATAGATTAGATACACACACACTATATACATTAGTTATATATTATATATTTTCTACAGCACCCTATATACACATACATACATCTAATATATAGCTTAGTTCTATATTATATTTATTATATATTAATTTTTATAAAATCTTATATATACACACACTATATGTTATATATCATATATATTTGTTATATATATATTATTTATAGTACCCAAAACATGTATCATATATATATATAGTGTGTGTATATCACATATATATATAGTATGTGTGTATCTTATATATGTATATATATAGTATGTATATATACAGTATGTGTATGTATAGGTAAAGAATAGTATGCAAGATATATATTGTATGCATGTATATAGGGTATTGTAAAGTACCCTAAAAAAGGAAAAAAGCTATTACAAGATTCTGAAAGAGAGAACAATTACTGTGAAGTACAGTTGGGAGGCTCATGAAGAGTTTAAAGAAAGAGATGACATTTAAAGTGGGCTTTGAAGGACACATAAGGATGGATGAGTAGGATATATGCCAATAGATATGGAAAAACTCTTGGAAAATAGTTTTAGCGGGCTCAAAGCAGAGAAAGAAATTCATTTTGCCTGAGTATGTGGTACAAGAATAACAACATTAGAATTTCGGAGTTAGAAGGGATATTATGTGTCATTGAGTCCAACCACTAGTTTTACAAAAGATTCAAAGATGGCTCCAGACTTTAAGCTAAGTAACTAAGAGAATGAAATTAGAAGGTAGAATTTGGAGGGGAAAATAATGAGTTTAATTTTAAACATGTCACATTTGAGGTGACAGTAAGGCATCCAAGGGGAAATGAGGGACTGCAGCTTTAAGAGGGGTCAGAACTAGAGAAGCAGAATCCAAATTTTTCCGCCTGACACTGACAACAGACATAATGAAAGAGAAAAAAATGAGGAAAAACAAGGGCAGCACAAACACCAATGTTATTATCTTAACCTAATGGAAATGTGTCCCACTGTTCAACTACTATTATACTTTGATTATACTTTGTTTAATTTTAAATTGAAATTTTGAGTCGCAAAAAAGAAGCTGTACTATAGGTAACAAAAAGAACATAGCTTTGGAATTGGTGACTTGCATTCAAATTCTAATTAACACCACTTAGTAAGCATGACCTAGGGAAAATCACTTCATATTCTGAAGCTCAATTTCCTCACTCATAACATGAGAATACCATCTCCTTCCCTGAGGTGTTCTGTGGATTTGAGATATATATATAACTAGCATGTTTTCCACTGTCAAATGATAGCTAGAATTATTAGGCACTTAACTTAACTCCCTACTCCCAACTTACTCCAGCTTGTGAATGCATCACAAATATCTGATGAACATACAGAAGGTGCTCATCAGGTACTTGAAGAAGGAATAGAGAATTCGATATACTTCCTGCTTATTTTATACTAATCACTGTAAAGCATTGTACTGCATTTTCTAGGCTTTGTATAACAGAAAAAATTTCTCACCAATAAATTAAACATTCTTAGAAGTATAACAGTTGGTATTTTAACGGTATATGTAAAAACAATGAAGCAATACAGTGGTTACCCATTTAACTTGCTATGTGATATCCTGCTGCAATTTATTGTTCAAATATAACCAATTCGATGATTTTAGGTTCCAAATAGCATACATTTGGGAAACTGAAAATGATAGATTACCTTTAAGATTACTTCTATTTCTGAAATTGTAAAATTCAATGACGGTAGAACAATATTGCTCCAACAATGGAATTCTAGTTTACCCATGGAACTCTAGGGCCCTCCTCTTGATTGTACCCCTCAAGAGGTTAATAGCAGTTCCTTTGAAAAGACATTCTTAAATAGTTTGAAAAGCACTATATATTAATATAGCCATTTCTTAGAGAGTCAGTATGTATATTAGTGGGCTGCATTTGATGCAACGTTTCACAAACTTATTTGGAATATAATATCGTTAAAAAAAAAAAAAGGAATGGATATTGGCCAGGTACACAGGCTCATGCCTGTAATCCCAGCACTTTGGGAGGCTGAGGTGGGTAGATCACCTGAGGTCAGGAGTTTGAGACTATCCTGGCCAACATGGTGAAACCCCATCTCCACTAAAAATACAAAAATTAGCCAGGCGTGTTAGCATGCATCTGTAAGTCCCAGCTACTCAGGAGGCTGAGGCAGGAGAACTGCTTGAATCAGGGAGGCAGAGGTTGTAGTGAGCCCAGATGCACTGCTGCACTTCAGACTGGGTGACAGAGCGAGACTGTCTCAAACAAACAAACAAACAAAAAGAATGCATATTAATAACTTTTAGAACTAATGTCCTGGGATCGGGACATTTGGAAAATGCAGCTCTGGAAGTTTGTTATTAGTGATCTACTCCAGTCATGCCAAGTTGCTCAGTGTTGATGGAACCACTGAGGAGGCTAGGGTTGGCAAGCTCATGTCACAAAACTCATGGGTTGGGCACATCTTCCACTCTGTTGATGTGATCTGAAGCCTGAGATGACAGTGATACCCTACTCTAACAAAAGATCTGTGGCCCTTTGTGATACATCTTTCCACTTTGTGGTCTATCAAGCATTATTTGTCAATATACTGCTGAGCTTGCTGTAATCTGTGACAGCTTTTAGCACTAAATTTCTAATGAGAACTTTTGGCAATGGGTAGGATTTCTCCCAGTAGCAAACTACCACTATAAATATTCAGTTCAAGAAGTGCTTAAAAACAGTAGCAAGATCTTCACCTATGATGGCAGATAAGAGCAGTCCATTTAACCTGGAAGGAAGCTGTTAAACTCAGGACTGGCATTTCTTTCTTTTTTTTTTTTTTTGTTTTGAGATGGAGTTTCACT